TCTATATGAAACGTGCGTTGTCAAAATGAACTAACACCTACCAATTCATTAATTGTTGTCAGTTATCCGTTATCTAGCAGTTAACCTATCTAATCGCACATAAAAAATAAATCAAAATTTTGATTGGCCTCATCGTATATGTCACTCGCAAATATGATGAATATACACAACTCATCTAATAACCCAGGTCCTATAGGGTGCTCTTCGAGTATCTGTACCAAAATTAAATCACTTTATTCTAGAATATATAGTCATTAAATCAAATAGGTCAAAAACGCTAAATTTGATATAAATCACCAATTATGTCAGGTCTTACTATTACAACTATTATCGATAAAAAAGCTAAATCAGTAAAGCTCATCAATAATCATCCTGGATATGATATGAAATATATAAAGTCATATATCTATAATTATTGTGGAATTAGTGATTATCAATAATACTTTGATGATCTTTATGAGACTAAAAGATGATATGATACTTTATCAGTTATTCGACCTGATGAAACTTTATGACAATGGACTATTCAGGTAAGAGTTCCTTTATAAAAGCTGATTTCCGAAAAGAAAAGAAGTATATATCATATATATTGCTTATTTGGTGGATTTGGAAATTCTAAGCTAATTAATCATGATTACTACAGACCTAAAATCCATAAATTCAATGTAGCAATATGTCTAGATTGTATGAAACTTATTTATATTGATAATGTAAAACCAAAGAAATTATTCTATTTCACTAGAAAAAGGTATATCGAAATTATCGAGCCAGATGATTTGATGCAGAAACATTGGGATCACGAGTGTGATAAACCTAAATCTTGAGATGGATATGCAAGAATTATACAAAGAACATTTTGCCAATTCCAAGAAAAAGAACCATCAAATACACGACTTGTATGGAATAGCTTACCAAATGATAATACTCCAGATGATAAGAAGTTTTTAGGCATAACTCCGCGAAAAATAAAAAACCCAAACTCCCTAGATCAATTAAAAACACGTCTTAATAAGGAATAT